CATATCGGCATTCACAATGCAACTGGGAGGGTTGAATGGGGGTAATTACACTGAAATTGACAGGCAAAGGAGAATATTATTTAAGCCAACTATTTTTGCTAGTATACTCTTGGATTTTTCAAATATGACTTTGAACATAATATGTTGTTATCAACATTTGATTGATCAATTTTTACTAGAACAAATTGACATCCTATCTAGTACACCAATATCCCGCGATACACTTGTAATTTAACTGAAATTGATGGCAAAGAAGTGATGGCAAAGAAGAATATTATTCTTTAACATTTCAAAATTTTGGGAGGTAATGCACTTGGGAAGGTCAACTTGGGCGCCGCCGGGGGGGGGGGGGGGGGGGGGTGGGTGGGGTGTTTAGACTTGGATCATTTCAAATATGTTGTTATCAACATTTAATTGATCAATTATTACTACAACAAATTGGCATCCTATGCGGTGCACCTGTATCCCGCGGTGCGTTTGGGTCCGAACATTTCAAACATGTTATTGTCAATATTTGATTGATCACTTATTACTACAACGAATTGGGATCCTATCCCATGCACCTGTATTTCGCGATACGCTTGGGAAGGGTGATTTTGGGGTGGGGTTTGAAATTTTACATAATGTCTCCTTAAAATTTATCTCTTAATTAATTTACAATCCGCTCCTTCAATCAAATCTTAATTTTTTTTTCTCTCAAAGTTATCTCATTTTTATTTTATTTTCTTTCTTCTTCTTATTTTTTTATTTTATTTTTCCACTTCTTAAAATTCTTCTTTTTGCAGTTATGCATGATGTATGTAGTGTAACTTTTCTTTTCTATTGCTTAATTTTTTTTCCCCTCTTCTTATTTAAATTTGTTATTGTAACTTTATTAACTCAATAATGTATTTTAAATTTATTTAGTAATTTTTCGCAAATATTGACATACTGTTTAATTCTTGATTAATGCAACATTACTGCATTTCTATTTTTTGGGTTACTATTTATATTTGTCACGTAAGTTGATTACTACTTTTTGCAGTTATGCACGATGGTTTCAATTAAGAAAAGATTAATAGAATATGTAAAACATTATATAAATATATATGTATATATATACAGAGAGAGGATGAACCAAAAACAATATATGCATATGACTTTTAATATGACTTTTTAACATTTTAAATTATGACTTGGATAATTTCAAATATGTTGTTATCAACATTTAATTGATCAATTATTACTAGAACAAATTGGCATCCTCTGCGGTGCACCTGTATCCCGTGATACGTTTGAGTCTTTCAAACATGTTGTTGTCAATATTTGATTGATTACTTACTACTACAACGAAACGGGATCCTATCCCATGCACCTGTATTTCGCGATATGCTTGAGAGGGGTGATTTGGGGGTGGGGTTTAAAATTTTACAGTCTCCTTAAAATTTATCTTTTAATTAATTTACAATCCGCTCCTTCATTCAAATCTTAATTTTTTTCCTCTCAAAGTTATCTCATTTTTATTTTATTTTCTTTATTCTTCTTATTTTTTTATTTTGTTTTTCCACTTCTTAAAATTCTTCTTTTTGCAGTTATGCATGATGTATGTAGTGTAACTTTTCTTTTCTATTGGTTAATTTTTTTTCCCTCTTCTTATTTAAATTTGTTATTGTAACTTTATTAAGTCAATAATGCATTTTTAATTTATTTAGTAATTTTTCGCAAATATTGACATACTGTTTAATTATTGATTAATACACCATTACTGCATTTCTATTTTTTTGGGCTACTATTTATATTTGTCACATAAGTTGATTACACTACTTTTTGCAGTTATGCACGATGGTCTCAATTAAGAAAAGATTAATAGAATATGTAAAACATTATATAAATATATATGTATATATATATAGAGAGAGGATGAACCAAAAAAATATTTCTAGGTGAGTTCTACCCGTGTAATGCTATCAGGAGAGACCTCTTATGACAAGAAGTATGAGCTATCCTTATTTAATTACTGAATTATTTAATTACTGAATTACTCGATTGAGACGCTTTTGAGATGTGTGAAAAGTCAAATAAATTATTTAACAAATCTTTTCTATTAAGCTGTTAGCAAAGGCGAGCCCACCATGAGAGGGCTCTCCTGATAGCATTACACGGGTATAATAAACAAGGATATTTAACCTACCATCAACAAGAGAAGTTTCTTTGAAGTCTACTATGTTGGCGAGACATTAATATTTGTCTAAAGAAGAATAATTTTAAGCTGAAGACTTGGGTAGGATATCTTAACCGAATGCTTTTAATTGTTTAATACATATCAAATATAAGAAAGTAAATTTTTTCATTTTCTTATCTCTTTGTATTAATAACTAATAAAATGTATTCGGTAAAAAAAGTTAGCCGAACTCATCCGCCCAAATACGAGGGAATCATTTTCCGCCCAAATATTGAGGGAATCATTTTTCAGAGAAAATTCATTGTCGATGTTGCACTTTTAATAGCATTAGATTCGTTCCAAGTAGAATGAACAACAAAGTTTGCTGGCTAGAATTTTCCCCAGTATGTAATAAAGAATTGTTTACTTTTGTTTGAAATTTTGCACTGGCTAACTATGCGTGTTGACCACAACTTTGAAATGTCTACCTTTGAAATTTTCCAAAGTCATTGTCTAAAACCACTTATGATAAAATGTATGAGTTATTCTTATTTAATTATTAGATTGTGACGTTTTTGAGATACGTGAAAAGTCAAATAAATTATTTAATAATTTTTTTTCTATTCAGTGGTTAGTTATGAAGCACGAATACACTTGGTAGGGGTGATATACCAGTGTCGGACACGTGTTCGACACGGACACGCGTGTCCCAGCCTCAGACACGTGCCCGACACCCTTCTACTGGTGTTTTATTTTTTTATTCATTTTTTCAAATAAGACACGCCATAAGATATGGCCGGGACACGCCGGAGGACATGACTGGTACACCAGAGGACATCGCAGTTCAGATTGTTGTTTGAAAGGAAGAGAGGATGAAGAGATATGTGTGTGTGTTTTGTGTGGACTGATCGAAGATAACAAACCAAAAGCAACTCTAAATAAAAAAATGGAGTGGATGAGAGAGAAACTGGAAGAGAGGGGAAATCAACAAAGAGATGATGAAGAATTTGATGATTATGCTTTGGTTGGTGTGGATCAATCGAAGACAGAATGAAAGAATTTCATTGTTTGAGTGAAAATTTGTTTGTCTATTTTTAGAGAATATGCAGAGGAGAGGGTAGATGGAAGTTCAGAGACGGAGTAGATGCGTCTGGCTAGAGGAGAGAGAATATTAGTCAATGTGTTTGGTTACAAAGTTAAAACTATTTTAGTATTGATACAAATTCTAGCATTGGATATAAAGATATATTACATATTTATTGTTTGAATTTTAATAGAATTTGGATTGGACATAATTTAAATGGATCATGTCTATTAATGTAAATTAAAAATTAAGAGAAATTAAAATTTTATATATAATAAAAATATATATATATTATTATTTTATTACCGTATCTTTGTCGTGTTCGTGTCCTATTTTTTTTAAAAATTTTCCGTATCGCCGTGTCTGTGTCGTATCGTACTCGTATCCCGTGTCGGTGTTCGTGCTTCATAGGTTGTTAATACAGGTGAGCACACCATGAAAGGGCTCTCCTGATAATATTATAATAAATGAGGACATTTAACCTATCATCAACAAGAGAAATTTCTTTGAAGTTTACAATGCAGGCAAAGACATTAATATTTGTCTAAAGAAAAATAATTTTAAAGTTGAAGAGTTGGGTAGAATTTCTTGACCGAATGCTTTTAATTGGTTAATACATGTCAAATATGAAAAAGTAAAATCTTTCATTTTCTTTTCTCTTGCATTAATAACTAATAAAATATATTGGGTAAAAAAAGTCAGCCTAACTCACCCGCCTAAATATCGAGGGAATCATTTTTCAGAGAAAATTCATTGTCGATGTTGCACTTTTAATAGCCTTAGACTCGTTCCAAGTACTATGAACAACAAAGTTTGCTGGCTAGAATTTTCCAGAGTAGGTAATAAAGAACTGTTTACTTTTGTTTGAAATTTTGCACTGGCTAACTATGTGTGTTGACCACTACTTTGAAATGTCTACCTTTGAAATTTTCCAAAGCCATTGTTTAAAACCACTGATGTAAACATCAAAGTCATTAACAGATGGAAAAAAATTTCCCCCAAAATTTTAAAAATAAAATAAAATAATAAAATAAACACAAACTAGCATTTACCTCTGTGTAAATTAATAGAATCTAGAAGGAAAAGAAGTGAGGTCGTTCCTTCCATTTTTTCATTGACAGTTTTTTCCAATGCAGTAAGGCTAAAATTTTTAATTTATGCCTATAAGTAGTAATAGATATCATTTGAACACCCCACAAACTTGTCCTTAATTTCTTATAACTCTACTTGTTTGAGCTATACCTATCTTCATTTGCCAGTCAGAATGGGATTATTGAAGGCCTCCCATGTAATTGTGTTCACCATTTCTCTAGCAATCTTGTTCCTTATGATGTCTAATGTTGCTTCTGCAATTCTTCATGACGCAACACCAGAACTGAAACTTGGTTAGCTTTTATTTTTTTCGATCCTTTTTTTTTTTTTTTACCCTGTATTTCATAAAAGTTTTTGTATTCTTAGTATAAAGGCGATAACATTTCACTATATGTATATATATATGCATATGTATGTGTGATGCATTCATGTATGGTATGTGTGTGTGTGGGTGTGTAAAATCTTGATGTGCTTGCTATCAATATGCAAACATATTCTCTGGACTCCATGATCAGCTTTCCATGCCTTCATATCATTTTTCCTTTTTTTCTTTTTTTTTTTTTTGGTTGTGGTAGGTACATGATTATATGACCCTTATGCTTGCAAATGGTGACCATGAAATCTTTCATTAAATATATATATATACATATGTATGAGTATTTATATATTGTTTTTGTGTTGCAGGACGAAGGGCTCTTAGCGATTATGAATTACCACCTACCTATGGCACAGGATGGGGAGGATATAGTCCACCAACATCACCATAGTAATCTTACTGAAGAGAATATGTAGCAGATAATATGTAACCGTTTCATTCTAGTATAAGTTGCTGTGCCTTAACGTAGCTGCGAGTACTAGTCAGAATACATACAGCACTGCAACGGATACAGAATTGAAAGCAGTGTTTTTGCAAATTTATACAAATAAAAAACACAGCCCCAAGTTCAATCTTGTCATAAATGTTACAATTGCAGCTTAAAATCAAATCTAGTTGGTCTGTAAGTGATCTTTTACATGGATGAATTCGTCAAACAAGCAATAGATGTCATTATGTATGGTCTATTTGGTTAGTCCAAAATTTATTATCAAAAGTGAAAGTGAAAGAAAGAAAATCAAGTATCTTGCATTCATTTGGTTAGGAGGAAATTTTTTCAAGAAATTAAGTTGTGAGAAAATATTATTTTCTTAGTTTGGATGGCATGAAATGGAAAAGAAAATGATTTACTTAACAAAACTACCCTTCTGATTTTAAATACTTTATACCTAATTATTTATACTAATTTTTAGCAAATAAATAGTAAAATGATGAATTATTAAATATAATAATTATTATTTATTTTCATATTTAAATTAGAACAAATTGAGAATTGGATTTTAGTTACTAGATTATTTTTATTTTTATTTTATTTTATAATAATAATAATTTATATTCATATGTAGAATGTAGTTCATTTATGATAACATATTTATGTTTTTGTTTATTTAAGTCCTTTTGGGAGAAACACTAAATGACAAGTAAAAATTGTCAAGCAAAAGAACATATATATCTAGAGGGTCCTCTATATATAACAAGAGCACCTGCATTTTGCTTTCTGCAGAAGTCTCTCAGGTCAATTGATCAACTTTCATACACCTAAACCTTTCCATTTTTCCTGATATGCAAAGCATATGGTCATATTTTACAATTAAAGACTTGAATTTTATTTTATTTTTTATTAATTTGAAAGGTTGAGGAGAGTGCAGAAGTCGCTTTTGCATTTGACTTAGAGGAAATATGACGACCCTAATGCATATTGATCCTACTGAAATTGACGGCAGAGGATTATTTAAGTCTGACTATTTCCCACTTACTATGTTCAAAGTCATACTTGAAAATGACTTTTAAGTCCGACAATTTCTGCTGGCTAGGTTTATCATACCCTTGGAATTTTCAAGTATGACTCTGAACATTTCTTTGTTTTTTTAGTTGGTATACACAATTGTCTCTTTTTTAGATTTAACTTATGACATTCTTTTAAAAAGTAAGAAACTGATACTGCTAGACCATTAGTTCGTTGATGACTTTGAACATTTCAAATATGTTGTTATCGACATTTGATTGATTGCTTATTACGAGAACAAACCGGCATCCTATTTAGTGCACCTGTATTGCGATGTGCTCTAGAGGTTTGATTGTGTGTGTGTGAAATTGATGGCAAAAGAGAATATTATTTAAGTCCGACTATTTTCGCTGGATGGATTTATACACTTTGAACATTTCAAATGCGTTGTTATATTTAATTAATTGCTTATTTCAAATATGTTTGTGATCACTTATTACTAGAACAAATTGGCATTTGCAATGCAATTGGGAGGTAATTTTACTGAAATTGATGGCAAAAGAGAATATTATTTAAACGGACTATTTTCGTTAGTATACTCTTGGATTTTTCAAATATGACTTTGAACATAATATGTCGATTACTACTTTTTGCAGTTACGCATGATGGTTTCAATTAAGAAAAGAATAATAGAATATGTAAAACATTATATAAATATATATGTGTATATATATATAGAGAGAGAGGATGAACTAAAAAAATATTGTTCTATTCAAGTAATGCTATCACAAGAGACCTCTTATGACAAGAAATATGAGTTATTCTTATTTAATTAATAGATTGAGACGCTTTTGAGATATGTGAAAAGTTAAATAATTTAATAAATTTTTTTATTCAGTGATGAGTAAAGGTGAGCACACCATGAGAGGGCTCTCCTAATAACACTTTAATAAGGGCATTTAACTTACCATCAACAAGAGAAGTTTCTTTGAAGTCTACTATGCAAGCAAAGACATTAATATTTATCTAAAGAAAAATAATTTTAAAATTGAGGAGTTTAATAAAATTCTTTAACTGAATACTTTCAATTAGTTAATACATATTAAATATAAAAAAAATAAGATCTTCCATTTTTTTATCTTTTGTATTTATAACTAATAAAATATATTCAGTAAAAGAAGTCAGCCTAACCCATCTGCCCAAATATCGAGGGAATCAAAATTCATTGTCATTGTCGCACTTTTAATAGCCTTACTCGTTCCAAGTACTACGAACAACAAAGTTTGATGTCTTGTATTTTCCATAGTAGGTAATAAAGAACTGTTTACTTTTGTTTGAAATTTTGCACTGGTTAACTATGTGTGTTGACCACAACTTTGAATTGTCTACCTTTGAAATTTTCCAAAGCCATTGTTTAAAATCACTTATGACGAGAAGTATGAGGTAGTCTTATTTAATTATTGAATATGAGCTCTTCTTATTTAATTATTAAATTGAGATAGTTTTTAGATATATAAAAAGTCAAATAACTTATTTAATAAATATTTTCTATTCAGTGGTTAGTAAAAGCGGGTACATCATGAGAGGCTCTCCTGATTACACTACAATAAACGAGACATTTGAGTTACTATCAACAAAAGAAGTTTCTTTGAAGTCTACTATGCAGGCAAAGACATTAATATTTGTCTAAAGAAAAATAATTTTAAAGCTGAGGCGTAGGGTAGAATTTCTTAACTGAATGTTTTTAATTGGTTAATACATATAAAATATAAGTATTTACTCCTTTATTTTTGGCCCAATGGAAAAATGACAAGTGGCGAGTCCCAATGAACTTGCCACATTGAATCAGTGCTTTAAATTAAAGTCTAAAAGATGGAGCATAGCGTGGAGTTATTGAAGGTTGATTTTACATTATCCACCAATAAAAAAAAAGAGTATGTGGTGAGTTCTAATGGAACTTGCCACGCTGGATTGCAACCTTGATATAATTTCCTTCAGTGTATTAAAACTACATGGTTAATTTCATATGGAAACAAAGAATGATTGGTCTAGTTAAATTCCACCACGTGGAATTGTTGATTAAAAGGAAAGTGGTCAGCCCCATTAGGACTTACCAACTTTAAAATAAATACACGCAATGTTTAAAAGGATAGAAAGGTGGCATGGAATCACTACCATGAATGCAACCTCATACAATTATCCAAGTCAAAGCTCATCTACCCAATTGTCTCTCAACACATGACCCAATTGTCTCTCGACACGTGGCGAATTTTATGGAACTTATCACATTTTATCAATTCTTTAAAGGATTGTTGTTAGGTCAAATCATATTCCAAGTGAATAGATATTTTCCATTTGTACAAGACCAAAGGTTGACCAGTCAAAAGAAGGAGAACGTGGGGCTAGATTATCTCTTAAATTTTAGGATGCTTCAACGGTTATTACTAGCTAATTCAAACAAACATGGCTGATAAAAGAGGGGAGGTTGGTTGTTGGTTCAAAAGGGCAAAAATGTATTTTCGAATATGTGTGTGTATATTCATGGCACCATGTACTCCTTTATTTTAGCAGTTTCCTCAGTGTAGGTAATATTCCAGTGTATATATATATATACACACACACTGGAATATTACCTACACTGAGGAACTGCTAAAATAAAGGAGTACATGGCGCCATGAAACTCTAAAGCTCAGAAGGAAAGTTATTAGATGGAATATTACCCATGATGGAAGGAGGTCGCTAAAGTCAAGGGGGTGTGCCAAGAATATAACCCACGATGTAAAGTGAGTGAAACTATGGAAAGGGACCACGGCACCATGAAGCAAAATGGAAAGTTCAGCCAAAGAAGGATACATAAAATCAAGGAGACGGGGGTTTGCAAGACATAAATGCATGTATATATATGGAATTATAGAAAAAGAAGGATTCTCCATTAGGAAGAAATTATAGAGAACGTGGGATACTAGGCTGAATGCAAATACATCAATTGAAAGTGGTGGTGTTTCAAAAGGTAACTGTCACTAACTAAAGGAAGTTGTCAGAGATCATGGAAGACAAGGATGAAGTTAACAAAATCGTGTTTGAAATAAAGGAAGAAGTCTACGGTAAAGAAAGAAGACTAAGCAAGACATGGGGCATATGTCAGTTTGTAAATAAGACAAGTAAAGAGTTAATTTCAGAACTATACACAAACTTAAAATCATGGAGAACATGTCTGAAATCATGCCTAGAAGGAAATAAAGATAAGGAAGACGATAGAAGAAGGAGGTTACAACTACGGGGCAATTGGCAGTCCGAAGCTTAGCCAAGTGGAAGCTGTCAAGGTTGCCACATCAAGTTGTTGCATGCATGAAGAATTCTATAAATAGAACACCAAGGTGTAACGGATAAGACGACTCACACACTGCTCAAAGCCCAACTTGCTCAACGCACACAACACAAGCATCTTTGCTAAATCATGTAACTCTCATTTCAACAATGAGTTTACATTATGTCTAAACCTAGCACTTTGCTAGTACATGTATTTTCCATTCTAGCAATGAATGTACATCATTTTAAGTTGAGTCCAGTACTTTACTATCTTGTATAACATTCATTCCAGTAATGAATTCTCATAACGCTTGAGTTAAGTCCAACACTCCTTTTACTACTTGCAATCGAGTACTGCATTTGCATATCTTCAATTTTTAATCCTGCACTTTAAATTACTTTACTTTCTATCCTTGCACTTTCAATACCGTCTTCATTTCCATAAGCCATAGAATAGTCCCGAAGTCATTTTTCAAAGGCAAAAAAGACCCTTCGAAGGTGGTCATTCCAGACATTCGTACAATTGCCTGATCCATACAAACCTCCAACTGGATAATTATTCGGATATCTACTTTGGAACGACAGCAGTTCTTGGCACTCCCGCAACCCAACTATTCTATTCTACTATCCACCATTTCATACAATCTGTATAACAGAACTAGCACTTTTTTGCGGGCCGAACCATCAGAAAGTAAAATCTTTCATTTTCTTCTCTTTTGCATTGATAACTAATAAAATATATTCGGTAAAAGAAGTCAGCCTAACTCATCCGCCCAAATATCGAGGGAATCATTTTTCAGAGAAAATTCGTTGTCCATGTTGCACTTTTAATAGCCTTAGACTCGTTCCAAGTACATTTTAGCAGGTAATAAAGAACTATTTACTTTTGTTTGAAATTTTAAAGTGGCTATCTATGTGTGTTGACCACAACCTTGAAATGTCTACCTTTGAAATTGTACAAAACCATTGTTTAAAACCACTCGTGACAAGGAGTATGTGTTATTTTTATTTAATTATTGAATTGAGACGTTTTTAAGATTTGTGAAAAATTAAATAAATTATTTAATAAATTTTTTCTTAGTGGTTGGTAAAGACAAGCACATCATGAGAGGGCTCTTTTGATAACACTATAATAAACGAGGACATTTATCTTATCATCAACAAGAGAAGTTTTTTTGAAGTCTATTACGCAGACAAAAACATTAATATTTGTTTAAAGAAAAATAATTTTGAAGTTAAGTAATTGGGTAGAATTTCTTAACTGAATACTTTTAATTAGTTAATATATGTCAAAAATAAAAAAATAAATTTTTTTATTTTTTTATCTCTTGCATTAATAACTAAAAAAATATATTTGATAAAAAAAAGTCAGCCTAACTCATCCCCCAAATATCGAGGGAATCATTTTTCAAAGAAAATTCATCGTCGATGTTGCACTTTTAATAGCCTTAGACTCGTTCCAAGTACTATGAACGACAAAGTTTGCTGGCTAGAATTTTCCAGAGTAGGTAATAAAGAACCGTTTACTTTTATTTGAAATTTGGCACTGGCTAACTATGTGTGTTGACCACAACTTTGAAACGTCTACCTTTGAAAATTTCCAAAGCCATCGTTTAAAACCATTTATGTAAACATCAAAGTCATTAACAGATGGAAAAAAAATCCCCCAAAATTTTAAAAATAAAATAAAATAATAAAAAATCCCAAACTAGCATTTACCTGTGACTGAGTAAATTAATAGAATCTAGAAGGAAAATAAGTGAGGTCGTTCCTTCCATTTTTTCATTGAAGTGATGTTCAAATTTAAGGTTTTAAATCAAACCATTATAGGTGTACTTTTTTCCAATGCAATAAGGCTAAAAAGTTTAATTTTTGCCTATAAGCAGTAGTAGATATCATTTAAACACACCACACACTTATACTTAATTTCTTACAACTCTACTTGTTTGAGCGATACCACCTATCTTCATTTGCCAGTCAGAATGGGATTATTGAAGTCCTCCCATGTAATTGTGTTCACCATTTCTCTAGCAATCTTGTTCCTTATGATGTCTAATGTTGCTTCTGCAATTCTTCATGACACAACACCAGAACTCAAACTTGGTTAGCTTTTTTTTTTTTTTTTTTTTTTTTTTTCGATCTTTTTAATTTTTATTTTAATTTTTAGTTTTCCCAGTATTTCATTGAAGTTTTTGTATTCTTAGTATAAAGGCGATAACATTTCACTATATATATATATACATATGCATATGTATGTGCTACGCATGAATGTATGGTATGTGTGTGTGTGTGGGTGTGTAAATCTTGATGCGCTAGCTATCAATATGCAAGCATATTCTCTGGACTCCATGATAAGCTTTTCATGCCTTCATATCATTTTTCCTCATTTTTTTTTTTGGTTGTGGTGGGAGATGGGACTAGGTACATGATTATATGACCCTTATGCTTGCAAATGGTGACCATGAAATCTTTATATATATTTCTGAGCATTTATATATTGTTTTTGTGTTGCAGGACGAAGGGCTCTTAGCGATTATGAATTACCACGTACCTATGGCACAGGATGGGGAGGATATAGTCCACCAACATCACCATAGTAATCTTACTGAAGAGAATATGTAGCAGATAATATGTAACCGTTTCATTCTAGTATAAGTTGCTGTGCCTTAACGTAGCTGCGAGTACTAGTCAGAATACATACAGCACTGCAACGGATACAGAATTGAAAGCAGTGTTTTTGCAAATTTATACAAATAAAAAACACAGCCCCAAGTTCAATCTTGTCATAAATGTTACAATTGCAGATTGCATGATCAAGCCAGCAGAATAAAATCAACTCTAGTTGGTCCGTAAGTGATCTTTTGCGTGGATGAATTGTTAAAAAGGCCGTAGATGTCATTATGTATGGTCTGTTTGGTTAGTTGAAAATTTATGATGAAAAGTAAAAGTGAGGGAAAAGAAAGTGAAGTAAAAAAAAGAAAATCAAGTATCCCACATTCATTTGGTTAGGAGGAAATTTTTTCAAGAAATCAAGTTGTGAGAAAATATTATTTTCTTAGTTTGGATGGCATGAAATGGAAAAGAAAATGATTTATTTACCAAAACCACCCTCATGATTTCAAATACTAAAAACTAATTTAACTTTGAAGAATTTTCTTTATATCCAATTATTTATATCAATTTTTAGCAAATAAATAGTAAAATGATGGATTATTAAAAATAATCATTATTATTTATTTTCATATTTAAATTAGAACAAATTGAGGATTGGATTTTAGTTACTAAATTATTATTATTTTTTTAATAATAATTATTTATATTCATATGTAAAATGTAGTTTATTCATCATAACATATTCACGTTATTGTTAGAATATTAAATATATCATTATTTAAGTGCTTTGGTAGAAACACTAAATGACAAGTAAAAATTGTCAAGCTAAAGAACATATTCTGTGGTTCATGCAAAAGTAACATAATTTACCGGCCTAATCACATCTATGTAATTTTTTCTTTGCAAAACTCACACATGGTTCGAGTATAAAACTTTATCTATTTTTTTAGCTATATAGATAATAAAAAATAGATATTATATTAATTGACATCCATCATGATTCCTATCCATCTCTGTTTACTTATGGTTCTATTGAGATATTGGTAAAAATTAAAAGTGATATTATTTAACATTTCACTATTCAATTCTTACTTTATTTTTATTTTATTTTTTTTCCTGGCAACAACAATACAACTAAACAAAGAAATCAACAAACCCAGAACCCAACAAAGGAATCAATCAAGAAACCCCACAATATCACCCAAGGCCAAAGCAGCAACCAGAGGAGGAAAAGTCTCCAACACGCGATCAAAATCCAATAGATCACACGAAACCTTAGCAAGGGCATGAGCTACCCGATTACCAAATCGCCGGACATGAGAAAACAAAGTCCTAGAGAAAGCTTGCAATTCCTAATTGATATCAAACACAACTGAATTAAGCTCAATTGGACAAGAGCTACCTTCGACCAAAGCATTCATAACTAATTTCGCATCAGATTCAAAACACACATTTTGATAACCAAGAGAATGAGCCCAAAATACAGCACGACGAAAAGAAATAGCCTCTGCCACTAAAGCCAAAGAACAAGGAAATTCTTACTTTATTTCTAAAATATTATACACATTGAAGCTAACAAGATGTTAAATATGTCATGAAAAGGTATGTCGTTATAATGTATCCAATAAATAATAGTTGTTTAATCAACCACATATGAATGGGAGTTATTTCCAAAATATTGTACAAATTGAAACTAACCAAGGTATTGATGAAGTGTCCAAAGCTAAGTCGTTATAATGTAACCAATAAATAATAGTTATTTAATCAACCACATATATTTGAACTTGTTATTATGATCTAGTTGAAACAATTTGAAAGTATGAAAACTTTACATGTTATGTGAATATGTGAAAAGAATAATAAAAGCAAGCCGAATATAGAGAAACAACTCAACTAGGGGAAAACAGGAAACTTAAAAATAAAATCACAGTTTTGGCAAGAAAGTAAAACTTTTCTGTGTTTTACGGGGTGAAATATTTTGACAAAATTCATCGAATGCAGGAATCCTACTTTCCCAAACATTTTACTCCATCTAACTAAACTCCCAAAGATTTCAAAAATTTTTCTTTTCTTTTTCTTTCTACCTACTTCAAGCTAACCAAATGAACCCTTAATAAAAAAAATTAAAGAGGAATACGTCAATAAAGGCATTGCTTAATAAGAAAAATCTATTTAATCCAAATTCTAAGTAAGCGTCTAGGTTCCATTAGATGATATGTTTCACTTTAAATGATGGTCCTAAAGTTTTATATCATGGATTGAGCTTTCAAAAGTGTTGTTTCAAGAATAACTTTACAAAATGAACTATGCTTACCACAACTATGTGAGTTGTGTAAGGTGGAATGGATATGGAATAAATAAGGATAATTAACTTAGAGGGGTTGAATAGGTTCAACTTGCTCTTTTATTGTAACTGCTTGAATTTTCATAACCTGAAATGTTAATGAGTAACTCGAAATTTGACCCGATATCGAGTCCGAAATGCAGAAGCGAGAACAAAAGAAGAGGTCACTAGAGGTAAATACCACCTATATGACAATGAAATAACTTCTTAAGAAGCCATGAGGCACAAATCAAAAACAAATGCGGAAGCTCAGGTTAAAATGAACAAAATGCGTAAATAGGGGTAAAATGGTTATTTTACGCAAAGTGAAGGAAATTTTACTCCCAACAAGTCAAATGAGATGAAACAAATCTAATATAATCCTTTGGTAAGCTCATAAGAAGTCCGAAGGCCATTGGACGACAGTCTCTCACTAAAACGTTAATATCTCACAGTGGGAATGTAATCTCATAGTGGAATTGGTACCATTGGAAAGCTCGTTTCGACACAGTCAGTTTAGACATAAGAATGACCCAATTCGAAGTTAAAATGAGAGAGATATGGCTACTTGAAGATGGAGGGTCAAAACACAGTGCTTGAGCACTGAAGGTAGTGCTCGAGCACTATTCCTCATGCGGTGATTTTTCTTTAGGAAAAAACGTGTGCTTGAGCATGGATGATAGTGCTCAAACCCTAAGCTCAAAAAAATGCTGAAAACTCTAGAAAATGATGGTTTAAGACCCAGGTACCCCCTCGGCACCCTACAAGTTCCTAAATCCAACCGAAACCAGTCCTGAACATTAATGGTAACATCCTAAAATAGTTGGGAGCCCATGAATCATGGAATGGACAGTTATGAACTAATGAGTTTGTGAAATCATGCATTGGTGTGCATTTTAAATATAATCAATACATTACAATAAAATGGCCGTATGGCCTCAATACATCATGTCCTCAAAGTACTAGATATCAAATACATAAGTTTACAATGAAGAAGGAGAGAAATACAACATAAACATTAAGTTACATTTATAGCACAATGAAACCACAAATGAATCAAGGTATGTCATCAACTTCAAAGGTCGTCCAAAGTAACTCCTTTCCTGAAAAATGTTTGTAATATAGGGGGTGAGCACAGCCGCTCAATAGGGAATGGATTATACAAGAAAATGTGTCATTCAGAATTCATAAGGATATGCAAAAATACTTGGCATCCCAAGGATGAAAGGTCATGTAACCTAAAGCCTAAGCTTCTTGGAATATCAAGGGGATTATACACTCTAACTCTAGTTTCCGCAGCATAATAGTTTGACTCAACAAGTTAAACACATAACCAAGTCATGTAGCAGAAATACAAGCCAACAAGTAAACTTACAAACGAGTTATAAACCACATAAGGCACATTATCATATAACGGCTATCACAAAACTATAACGATAACAATATCTACATAATTCCACAAATAAAGAAATCAACCGAACCCATAAACTTCTCCATGACACAACTCACACATGTGAATGCCATGATGCAAAAATGATGACACTGTGCTGGAATCACCGGGATAACATTCTGCACTTGCAATAATGCTATATTGGAATCACCGGAATCCTATCCCGCACCTAAAAAGATGATGTGTTGGAATTATCAGAATCTCATTCAGCACCTGCAATGATAATGTGCTGGAAATACAAATGATTGTCCTTCCGCACCTTATTGATAACACATATCCATCAAATATCTCATGCAATAATGATGTGCTGGAATCACCAGAATCTCATTCCACACCTGCAATACAAATCAGTGCCCTTCCGCATCCTATAGATAGTATCTATCTATCGAATATCTCATGCATGCCATGCATATATAACTCATGAACCCAATGATGACCACAACGCACTCATGAACAAAGTGGCACACACACCATGACCTATTCATGATGAAAATAAACCTAAGCATCACAATGTTATAATAATGTCTAAACTACACAAATAGACATTTAACCAAATCCTCTAAATGCATATAACCAAATCTTCCATATGTACAAAAATATCCTTAATGATACCATTCCCATATAAGGCATGATTAGGCAATTATAAAACAACCAAGTACTCAAAATTTCACCTTTTCCTATCATGCTTAATATTTCTAAAACCCAAAGTAAACCTAAGGTACAAATGAGAACATTTCTATACCTTAACAATATATATATATATATATATATATATATATATATATATATATATATATATATGCTAAGTAAGCAATTAGACTCACATTTCCATTTAACAGGCATACATGCTTTACAATTCCCTACATCCCAAAAGACCCAAAGAAAATACAAATTACAAGTAAAAGCCACCCCTACCTCAATTTGAGATGAAAATATCAAATAACGCCAAAACAGAACCATTCTGAATGTGACGAAACTTCGGGGTTATGTCGGGGACAACGAAGAGAACAATAAACCCTCTTACAACATAACCCAAACCCAATCCCGAGCTCAACTCCAAAACTCAAAAACAGACAAAGCAAAAATTTAATTGGATGAAAGGCAAGGCCGTACCAAGGCCATCACAAAACCCTTCTATGGCAAAGGTTGAATCACAAGGGAAGGAGATCAAATGGGGGAGGGAAGGTTTGAATCTAATAATGAAAAAAAAAAGAAGAAAAGAAGAAGAGGAATCCGGCTAAGAGAGGGGAAAATATGATTTTCCTCTTTCTTAAATACTTTCCAAAAATATCGCTCGAACGGCCCCACGCGATCCCGAAAAGTAAAAGTCATCGAAACGCGCTCAAACATAATAAAACTGTAAACGTAAAAACACCGATATAAAAAATAATGAAC